CAAACCTCACCTGCTACAGCTCCTTATTGTTTGCCTGGCCTTGCCCCTGGGCTCCTGATCACCTTCTGCAGGTTTGTCTCCATGCCAGCACCAATCTGCTCCTCACCCCTTCAGTCTCACACTGGTGAAACAAGTCCCCCATGCCTAGGTGCAGTGGGGGTCTGGTCCCTTTGGGAGTCAGAAAAGCAGTCATGGCTCTTGCTTGGCATCTGGGCTAGAAGTCCTCTACACCCTCAACTCTGGCACTTCACAGTAATGTCTTGGCAAAATCCTGCTGATACCAGAACTGCGTCACCCAAAGAAACAAGGCAAAAAAACCAAGCTATTTTTTTTTCTTTGGGCTCCCAGCAGAGTAATTTAGTCTGCCAGGTTTATTTGTGGAAGGTGCTGAAATACAGAGAGATGTTGGCTCAGCTCTTATTTTTCACATCTTGATAGCCATTGATTGCAGTGGAATTGATCTTGATCTCCAAAGAGGTACAAAGGAAAAGATAAGCACAGGTTGCTGTGTGGCAGGGTTGAAGGGGGTAGAACCCCTGGACCTGGGAGTGCGTGCTTTCCCTGCAGGGTGAGGTTCCTCTCCTGAACTAGTTGTATGTAGACAGCTAAACTGGATGGGGGAACCAAGCAGCTAGAGATTGGCACACACTTCTCAAGGTGTCTGCTTCTCAATTCCCTGTTTCCAAATCAGAATGTAACAATTCCTTTCTTGCCCTCTGAACACAATTTTTCAAGGCTCCAGCTGACCTTTTCTTTAGAGTGTTAATTCCTTAAATCTGTCATTTTCTGTTTCTCAAATTTACCACAGGACTGAATTACATTTAATGATTACCTTTAAAGAAATCATATAGAGGACTTGTACCCAAAATGTTTGCTTGTGCTGCACCATGCAGCCTGAGGAGGCTACTTTAGATGAGACCATCAAGGCACCTTCACTGACAGCTTGGTTGAAGTCTAGGGGATGAATTAGGCAAGTGCTTCTGGCACCTGAAAAGCAAATCAAGCAGATGAGAGTTCAGTAGGACCTTGTAACAGCCCAGACTGGCTGCCCTGGGGTAGGAATGAGCTGCAGACAGACTGGGACACACACTTGCATGTGCACAAGCACAGTGATGATTTCCAAGCGCTTATTTTGCACTGATGCTGCCCTGGCACAGGGAGCAGAGGCAGAGCTGGGATGCACAGGAGGATGACAGCCACATGTAGCAAGGCATGCCACACTGTGTGACCTCTGCCTGCTTTCTGCTCTCAGTGTGGTCCCCAGCAGCCAGGTAGGAGAAAAATGGCAGTGCCACTGGTTTTCCCACAGAGTGCAGGCTGTGATGCAACACCAGCAAAGGTGACAAAGAACATCTCTTCCTCTGCAAATTAAGATCCTGCCCACCCATGCAGCAAAACCTGTCTGCTTCTACCCACCACGACATAAGGCCTGATCTAGTACAGCTCCACTCACTTCAGAGCAGTGCTACTGATCCTACAGCAGCTCAGGATCCCGCTGCAGGCATTTCAGGCTTGCCTATTCCACCTGTACCTCTTTTATGCATCCTGCCTAAAGCAGATGGCTCAGAACCTTGCTCCAGGGTGCAGCAAAAGTCACAAACGGAGTTTTCATGGCAGCAACCACAATAGACTGGGCAAGTTTTAGACAGGAACAAAAAGCTATTAAAAACTATTTAGTAGACTGAGAATCAAGGGAAAACTGTAATTATGCAACCTATACCTTTGGTTACAGGCTAAATGGTAAAATGTGTTAAATTAGCTTTTCTGGATTGGTAAAGTGGATAGGCAAACCAGGAACTCACATTCGAGATGGAAAAAGCAGTGAAGGTTTTAACCCTAGGAACAAAACTTCATTGTGTGAAAACTTCCTGTCCCCAGCGTCCAAGCCACCCCAAAGGATCTGCCCTTTATTCCAGGTAACCCAAGTATAAGAAATGGAAGATAATACATCATCCCTTTTTTTCTTTATTACTATTTATCTGGGGAGACCCCAAACCAGCAAGTATTCTGGACATATTGCAATTCCCATGCAGCCACTGGGGTTCAAAGCCAATTAACATCTTACAGAATCAGGCTCACCCATCCCAGGTGAAAAGTTCTGCAGTGCTTCCACCTGCAGAGGCTGCCCAAACCAAAACACCAGGCTGCCACCAGAGCAAGCCACAGCAAGATTAAACTCATATTTTCCATTGTTTATTTTAGCACACCCAACACAGTGCAAATTTCCTTTTTGAATTGCAGTTTATTAGATGAACAGAGTTTAATACATAATGTGTACACAACCTAGGATGCAACATGCTCCCTCCCCTCCCAAGTTACAGAACACTGATGCTGTGAAGGGGAACACCACGTTTGTGACCCCACAGGGATGTTACAGATGGCTGGGAGTGGAAGCTTTGCACACAGGTAGGTCTACGCAGGACAGGATTACACACGTGAGAAGAGCCAAGACCAGCAAGAAGGGAGTAAGCTGGATCTGCCCTGGCTGAAGGACTGCTCTCAAGAAGGTGTTCTCTGTTTTCCCTCCCAAATTCCTTAGGGAGCAGGAGGGTGAAGCATAGGCCACGATGCAGCTGGAGTCCTGCGGAAAGCAGTGGTGCATGGTGCCACACGTGCCACTGCCAGCCAAGGGTCCCTGTGAGAACCACTGCTCAGGGTGCCAGAGCAAGCTGGGGGCCATTCTGCACTGGGTCCTCCACTCGGGCTCCCTGTGAAGGGTGAACATATGGGACTCCATCCTCCTCCCACTGTCCATGCCAAGGTGTAGTGAAATCAGTGAATAAGTTACCAAAAACTAATGAGATTAGGCATTTTCCTGTCACCCCACTCTTGAACTCCATGAAGGGCCACAAGGCAATTTCAGGGTCCTACTTCTGAATCATGGTATTGCCTGAATAGGACACCTGAAATAAATGGCCTGATGGTGGAAAAGGACAGGGAGGGACAACAAAGAAATCTACCGAGAGCTTGGCAGCTACTCTTCCTTTCAGTGATAGCAGTTGGGCTGCTAAACATTAGAATCAGACACTATTTTAAAGAAAGTGTAAACATGAGTTTATGGGCTTTACTCCAGGTTCACTTCCCTTGGAAAGTTTGATTCTAGAGAACCAACAAAAAGGAAAAGAAAATCAAAAAATAATGTCACCTAGGAAAAATCAAGAGTTCAGAAGACTCATCAAAAACTGTTTCAGTCTTACAAAGCATGTGCCTTTTGACTCAGGCATCAAAATAAATTTACTGTATTATTAAAAACTAGCAATATAGAAACTATGCCTTTCTCAGTTGAAAGTTTAAGCACATCTAAGAAGACCCCACATAAACAGTCCTCTTTCTGGCAAGGCACTATCCAGTAGTGTGTGGCACAAACAAAAACACCTCTGTCAAAGCCACTGATACAGTGAATGTGCACGTGCACGTCAGCCCACACAGCAACTTTAGCTAAGTACAAAGATTAAGTTTCACTCAACTGCTCTCCATTGAAAAAGTGGGGTAGTTATCAGTATTAGCTAGAAATTGGGATCATTTGGTTCTTAAGCATAACTCTATATGCCAAAATCTTAAACAGAATTAAGAATTTCCTATTTCTTTCAGTAAATGTCTCTTGATTCCCCAGACCTTTTCAGTTACCTGATAGCTACATTTCATTACTACAAAACTGATTTTAAAAATTCCTGATCATCTTATGTAACAAACTAGAAGTCTACTTGATTTAATTACAAAAATAAGGCTGTCATTCAACAGACAAAATTCACATCCAAACATATATACTTCTTTTTTTTTAACTAGCTATTTATAATTCAAAAGCACACATTCTAAGGGACTTACACTGCCAATCCATGCAAGCAAGCAGGGTATCTTTGGAGCTAGTGTTGTCCTCCATTCAACTGACTATGCCCACACACATGCTCTAAAATAAGCCAGTTTTACTTAACAGCTGAAACAAGACTAACTCTCCACTAAATGAGAGCCTTCTATTCTACAATTATCAAAATTCAAAAGGAGCTCTGTGAAACTAATTTTATCCCTGGAGAAATCAGTGTGGTTTTTCCTTTCACATTAGCAAGCCTGGGATTTCATCCAGGATTACCCATGTGTATATGCTTACACACTTAGGTAAATTTTTCAGACCTGGGACTTCAGGCAGTTCTCAAGGTTTACAATGTATCAAGTACATGATAAATCCAGGATGGCTTCTCTGTAATCAACTGCAAAATTACATACATTTATATCTCTATTCATTTACAAAGTTAAATATTTTAACTTCTTTTAAGAAATAGTTATACTGAATGTGGTGAAGTTAACAATGTACAGCTCCACCTCATGTCATATTCCCTTCCTATAGTGAAGTTCAAGTCTCATGAAAATATGGGATTGGTTACAAGAATGTCACAGTACCTTGACACAGATAACATAATTCTTAAAAATGTACGTACATACATCAATGCCCGTTCAGGATTCCTCTAGAGAAGGTGCTCTGGCAAGGACTTTGACCAGCAAATACAGCCACAGATTTCAAACCAGTGTGTGCTCTTCCTCCGTCTAGCTCTTTAGCTCAGCTGAGCAGCCAGGTTTGTTCAGTCTGGTAAGAAGAAGGCTAAGAGGTGACCCAAAGGTAGCCTACAACTATCTTGAGGGCTGTTAAAAAAACAATGGTGCCAATCTCTTATTGTGAGTGCCAAAAAGACACAGCAAAGGTAACAGCCTCAAATTAAAGCCTAGGAGTCAAAGCTGGACTTTAAAAGATAAAGTTTTCACTAGGAAAGCACTGCAGCAATGTCACAGGTTACCTAGATAGTTATGAGATCTTCATCTCTGGATATTCCTAATGCTCTGCTAGACAAACCCATATTTGTTTCAAGCTAGTGTGGTTCTTTGGCCTGATTTTGACAGTGCTGCACCAGATGACCTTCAGCTGTCCTTTCCAGCTGACATGTCTGGCATGCCATGACTACTGATGCCAGCAGAACATGTGATTTGTTTCACAGGTGTTGTTTTTGTTGTGGTAGTGCTGCTTTCTGACACTTTTTACAAGTCTGGCTTCCTTCAAACCACACAGTCTGAGGGATGCTGTGATTGCAAAGTAGCCTTTCTACGTAGTGGCTGTGTCCCATTTACCCGAAGACACAAGGACATTCACTGTGGTGGCACCACCTTGCCAGTATGAAATCACTGTAGGAAAAGCCACATCACAACACAGCTGTTATTTATGTATCAGATTTGATTCAAAATGCATGATGCAATTTTACTTCTGTCTAGAATGCATTTTGTAATAATTATTGGCAAGTCATGGGCCTAAGTTCTGCTATGTGCATCAGTGCAGTCCCACTGGAATAATCTCCATTTCCTTTACTTATTCCTCAGCTGAACAACCTCTCTGGCCTCATTTGGCAAAGCACACACTCAGCTTTCTCACTGTCTTCCAGGCACCTCCACATCACCACATCTGGGGATTTAAAACCAGGACAAGCCAGGCAAGTTAGGCATGCTCTTGGACCATGGTGGAGTGTTTAACCATCATGGAACTGAAACCTGGCTCTCAAAGTACCCCCTTGACTCTCATGTGGCTTGTGGTGGAGCTGTGTGTTATTGAAGGTAAACTGAAGTTTTGGCAAAATTTCATTTTAAGACAGTCCAACTATAGAGCTCCAGCCTTGGGTGTTAAAACTTCCTCATTTAAGAGATAACTTCATAGTATCATTAGCTGTAAGACCCCTTTAATTCTTCTGAACTCCCCAGTATTTCCACCAAGGAAACATTTACTGAACATTTCACCTGCATTTGGAAACATGTCAAAATATTTCACTTTGGCACCTCCTTCATGATAGCAACTTGTTTTAAACAGTCAGTTGCAATGTGCATCATTAGACAAATCAAGTCTTCATTACCAAGATTAGCAGCCCATGTCTCTTAAAATAACCATGATCTAGAATAAACATTGCAATAAATAAATAAATGTAGAGCAAAAATATGGCAGTTATTGGCTTAGACTGAGAGCTCAAGATTGATGCTTTTTACCTTCTGGATCATAGCCAGCACAAACATCATAACCAGCAGCACTTTAACTATTCATTTGAACCACAGTAGTGGGAGGAATTTAAAAAGGTAAGGAATGTGACTGTATAAGAATACCCATGAATGATACAAGCCCTACACTTTCACTCCTTATTCTCAAACACACGTGCCTGTTAGAATATCAGGGTCAGTTGCAAAAGCAACCAAAAGACAAAAGTGAAACATCAACAGTGAGCATTTTTACAAAGGAAGATGAGTAGCCCAGCCTTAATCCTATTTCATGTGCATGTTATTAGCTCCACATTACTGGAGAGCACCATCTCATGGCAAGCAGACTACTACTACTGACACATGTTTGCTCTATCACAGTGATCCATTAGGGAAGCTGTTATGTGCTGAAGGATAGTCACTCATTCAGGAATGTGCTTGTTGGTACTTCATATGGGCTTTCTAGGGTTCTGACTCCTATTGAAAAGAGAAAAAATAAATAGTATTATTAAATATATAAATATGATTATTAATTATTGACATAATATTATTGACATTAATATTATTGACATACTATTAATGTTATGGATACATTGTCATCTCCCGTACCTGTGACCTTGGCATATAAGGTGACCCTAACCCCAGACCACCTAGGAGCTGAGGATGCATCTCTCTGAAGTACCACCAGACTGAAGCAGGAAGTTTATAGAGAGACCTCTCCAGGCCTCCAACACCATATTTTCTAGGAACAGAGCTGCATAGAAGCTGCTGTTTCAGATTGTGTCAGAACATCATCTTTTTCCTAGGATAAGTCCTCCAAACTACAAAGTGAGGCAGGCTGCCAAAATAACCTGCTTCTGTGGTCCTCTGCTGAGGTTCCTTCCTACTGCTGTCCCTCAAGGGGTCCAGGAATAAATTAATTCCTGGCAGAAGAGGAGCTATAGATACCCAAGAGCCACCCTCCAAGCCTGAAACAGTACTAGTACCAAGTACATCTATATCTACAGTACCCAAGGAAAGAAAAATCCTCCCCTCTGTGTCTGATCTACTGCCAAAAGGTGCACCACACAATCTGTTTGAAGAAGTGTCCAGACTTCCATATGGCAATAAAATTTCCTCTGTTATACTGCCCTCAACAGAAAGATATTACCTGGCTTTGTGTTCTGACCTCTAGATATGTGTTTGCTAAAACCGAATTCAAAAAAGTTAATATAAGTTAATATAAGTTCTGACTACTCCAGCATTTCAGTATTAAATTAATTAATGCCTAATGAATAAATGCTGAGCCATTATGCCAGGCTTCAGAAAGTCCAGTGATTCAGTTCTGTCTCCTGTTATAATTAAGCCAGTTGCTTACAATTTAGATTGATAATGTGAAGGAGAATGTCATCTTTAAACTTAATTTATCTGCTGTCCCAAATTACTCGCAGGTACATGCTTGTTTTCATTTAAAATGCTTTACTTTTCCTTACAACCATATTGATTACTTCACTAGCACGAGGGTGATATGAACAAAGTATGGCTCACAGAAGGGATGCATCCAAACACAGAGCTCCATCCCACACAGGTATCAAAGAAAATTCAATCTCAACATGTCAAGAATTCCATGAAAAGTCTGCAATACTACACTAACCTTTGATGCCAAAGTAGGTTTCAGTCCAAGAAAGGAGAATACAGTGTTGCTCTCCTTTGATTCAAAAAAGCCATCATAATCCTAGAGAATTAAAAGAAGAAAAGATGAGTCAACATTTGTATTCCTATTTTCCTTACTGATATTACCACATCCTGTATTAGAATAAAGAGTAACATGTAGTAATGCTCAGAAAAATACTGATACTTACCCCTATTCTCCTACTCAAACCTAAAACCTAAACTGCAATGATATCACAAACTACAAACTACAGGGGTGAAGAAAACCACATAAACTCTCTAACTTCAACATCTCTCACTACTTTGACAGGAAAGTATAAGCATCAAAAGTACCTACATCAAAAGAAACTCTATTGGGGGTGTATTTTAAAGGTATTTAAGTGCAGAATTTCTTGTAAAACCTTTATGATGCTCTAGAAGGAGATGCTTTACCAGCATTTCAGCAACGATATACTGCTGTATCAGTGTGAACTGGGATACTGTGCAGTTGCATAATTATTCAAACAGCCTCAGCCTCCCCAAAACCACAACCATGGCTGCACCATGTGAAAGCACCTGTGAAAGACACCAAAAGGCCAGCAGGAGTGTACAATGGTCCTCAGGCCTCAGATATATTAACTGACATAAGTAGAAAGAGTAAACCTTGTTCAAATGACTTTTTATTATTTTCTTCATAAGACATGGCATATGCTAACTTAGGAATTAATAAAAATTTACAATTAATTGCCAGAAAGTAAATCCAAGTAAAACAGGCAAATCAACTAAGCCATGACGTAAGCTGAAAGATTACTGAAAGGATTCCCAATTGTGCCATGGATTAAAAAGGAACAATGTAATCACTGAATACCTACAGGAGTAATAAGTAATGCTGAAGCTATGCAGAAGGATGTTTTATGAAGCCCTTGACCTCTAAGAATGAGACTTCAAAAGCTGCATGGACATATTAAACTTTAAAAAGGTCTGTTCTGACTCTTCTAAGGCAGATAAAAACCCATGAGGGACACAGGCTACATAAGCAACATACAAGAAGACAGCCTGTGATCGACCTGAGAAATAACCTTCATTTGCTCCATGGGGCCCATTGACAAGTGAGTCACACTCTGGAGCTGAAGGTAGGGCAGCAGTGGATGAGTACAGCCCACAGCCCTTTCTTTAACATCAGGGCAGGTCTAAAATGCCTGAAGATGCCCATTATAGCCCTGTAAACTACCAGCAGCCAACCTGCAGGCAGGCAGCTGTGGTGGCAGACACCTTTTTGGGTCCCTGCCAGGAACACTCTCCCTCCTAAGCACCACAGGCAGCCTTCACTAACCCCCAGACACTTCTTGCTCTCAACAGTTTCTCCAAGGAACGTTCTGTGTTTGTTCAGTTGAGTCATCATCTCTCAGCACTGTTTTCAAATGCTGGTAATCTTCTATCCTGAAGATTCTTAATCACAGTACTTCAATTAGCTTTAGCAGTATCACTACTGTAAGACCATGTTTTTTTCACTCTTTGTTAATAAACTGGTAAGAAAAACAGAGCAGAGAAGGACTCAGAAACTGAGAAGAAAAGGCTACACTTGTGGCTCTGACAATGACTGATGCTCGGCTAATCTACCAACATCTGTTTAACCTAACCTCTGTAAAGTAATTTAATACTTAATAATAAAAAGCTGTCCTCAAGTACTAGTTACCATTTTACTTTTAGAATTATCAAGTCCTGACTTATTATTCTTTTTCCATATTTTTACCCATTAACAAACCTGGATTCACTTACTGAAAAAACTGTGAAGGTTAAACAGCAAGCTAAGTCTATGTTTGAAGGACCACAAAACCCAGTGGATTGATTCATTTTAAAAAGACCTGAATATTTAAGAACCATAAGAGATTATCCACCAGAAGCAATCTCCCTGATGTTTTGAAATATCTGCATTGCAAAACGTATTTAAATCCTATTGACACTTACTTTCATGGGCGATGGGGAAGAAGAAGCCTCATGCTTTTAGAATAAAGTAGAAGTAAATTTTAAATAGGAGAATTTTCCTAGTGATGTCTGCAATTATAATCTGTGATCTCAAAATATTCAAATGTGAAACAAGAAATTTTAGAAAAATACATAATAGTCCTATAAAAATTTTAAGAAATCCCTTTAGCACAGTAGTTTCTTAAGAGATTATTGAGAAGTATGATCTCAATGACTCAGTGGTTGTGTCATGAGTGGTAGGAGTTCAAAGTGGGCATCCCTGGCTTTTCCTGTAACACAGATGAGATCAAGGATGCTCCAAAAACACCCTGCCTTTGATCTTACCATTAGAAGGAGAGGAAGTCTGTGCAGATTTGGGCCATGTGTAAAGACACTAAATCCATGGGCGAGGACATAAAAATTCTAATCTCAATAAAGGACATCACACTGCTACCAGCAGTAGACGTATGCTGAAGAAGGAAAATAACACAAGCTCAGTGAAAATGAGAATTTCACACCCAAGCAGGAGCCTAACTCACTGGCGACCCAATGGATTCCATTTGGGAAAACTCTGTGGACACTCTGCCTCCCATAGAGGAAGGACACCACCATTCACTGGTTTTGGCAAGGCAGAGGTTTCTGCACCATGCTTCACTACTGGCAGCAAGTTCCTACAACCCTCTTGTCACTGTCCCAAGCAGCTGTACCCAGGGAGTGCTGTGGCTTTGCTGGGATCAGTGGAGCAGTGCTGTCCTGCCCCCGTGTAAGGAAGGGGCTCCCATTGTCAGTGGGAGGCTCTCAGACAGCAGCAGTTTACCTAAAAATATACAAGCACAACAAACTGCTACCCACTGGCCCACTTCAAAAGGCAACTATGTGTACAAACATAACTCTGACTGTAGCATTATGGAACTTGGTGCTTTTCAGGGCTGCTAATCACACTTCATTAATGTACAGAATTCTGGCAACATCAAAACTGACTAAAAACTGAGCACTAAAACTAGTAGGACATGCAGACAGTGCACGTGAATCATCAGCAATGCAGATATGCTTGATCCCTCTGGAGAAGTTGAAAAACCAAAAATACAGATGATAAATCCCATGACTGAGGGTATGAAATGTTACCAATAAAGACAAATGCCAGTTAGGAGGAAAAAATATATCTCAGAATGGTTTAAAGGGATAAAGAAGGGACAGGAGGATAAAGAAAGCAAGTAAAAAGCTATTTCAAGGCAGAAAGGGCCTTTCAACAGGATAACAACTAGTTGACTGCTTTAGGCATGATTCCTCACCCTTAAAGTTGGAGGCAGGTCCATCACCCACCACGTAACCTGAGCAGGACACAGCCTCTCTGCTTTAATATCACAACAGTCACAGCATTTGATGCGCTCCATGAGCTGCTAGGGAGTGGATTAGCTAACCTAATAAGCTCTTGCTTTGTTGAAAATAAACTGAAGCCACTGTAGGTGAGCTGCTTGCCTGTAGCTCACCTATAAACAAGCAAAATCTTGTTGGCCTTGTGTGGCCTAAAGCTCTGGTTTGCTCTCCCAGCTCCTGCTGAGTGACTGTAAACTGGGATAGAGAGACAAACTGGCTGAAAAGGTCTTCAGCACCAAAGTTACCCCAGAGGGTAAGGGGAGGAAGGCTAGGAAGGCTGTGAAGCTCACGGTGGTGGCAGGATGCTTGGTACTAGATGTGTTAGTGGACACATGGAATGCACTTCCAGAGCATACTGAAGATGCTAAAGGTTTCCACCAGAAACCTTTCAAGTTCATGAAAGAAAAATGTAGTAAGAATTACAAAGTATGTTAAAGTGACATTTATTTCAGAAAAATAATTAGAGACAAGGAAAATACTTAACCATTTCATATCTTGGTTGTGGTCTTTCCTAAGCTTATGACCACTGTTGGGACAAAACTGGGCTTGATGGACCTTCAGTCTCAGAAATGTAAGGCCATTTATGCTAATCTTAAGGTCTATCACACACTAAGTTTTAAAATGATCATAGAATCAGAAAATTACTTGGGCTGCAAGGGACCTCAAAGATCATCTAGTTCCAACTCCCAATAATCAGCAAGGCCATGTGATGTTGTCCATTAAGTATGATGGTAAAGGGAAAAAAAAGAAACCAAAACACAAAATAACTCAAGCCTCCAAGCCTCACACTTCCACAGCTTTATTTTCTAAAGTTTGAATCTTTGCAGCTTACCCTGGAAATAAAAGATGTTGTAGCTGTTTTGTACCTCTTTAAAACCAGATTAATCAAAGACAGGAGAACTTTGTTAATGTCTACATCACGGAGTAATGCCAAAGACCATCTACTGCCCAAATGCTACAGAAAACTAACATCAGCTTAGTCTTTGAGACACCGGACAAGCATTCAGGAAATCTGACACAAATGCCTTAGGTTCTTCCGGCCTTCATGTGGGTTTTATGCAATTTACTCCAGTAGGAAAACCTGGTTCTTGGAAATTCTCTCTTCTTTAGAAATCCCACTTCCAGGGTAAGTTCTTCTCTCAACACCAATGGCTAAGTTCACAAAGCTCAAGCTGGCACAGCATCAGCTGCATCCCAGATCTCCCAGCTGTGATGACCACTAGACCTTAAGTGTGATGTATTCCTTAAGTGTGATGTATTCCTGGAAACCAGATCACTGCAGTGATGTAATTACAGACACTGCCATAATTAATTTGGCTCAGGATTTTGCTAAGCAGGTATACTCAGGATTGTTTAAATAAACACTGTCACTGCTGGGAGAAACTATTTACTACACATCAAAGTTAAAACAGGCAGTACTGCAGATCAGCATAAATAATTATTTGGGCTTCAAGGAACATAGCAGAAACATGAAGGCGTTGGATCAAAGTAAAACATTAACACAAAGTAGATTTACAGTTAGCAATTTTACCTTCACTAATGCACTGAAATTAGGAGAACATTACATCTAATGAACTTTTAAAGACAGCAACTGTGAATAAAATTCTTTCCAGTAAGTTTCTTTAAACAAGCAAGTTGGTTTTGTGGCTGTTTGCTTTTAGTTGGCAACTAGAGTGAGCTTGTTAAACATCTCAGACAAATCTTTATTGCTTACCACACCAAGAAGCCAAAAAACAAGAAATC